GAGGGCGCTACGCTGCAAAGCTCCTGGTTGTAGCCACCTTCAGACACAGTCTGTGTGATCGAGGCAAAAGGAGGAGCCCCTGGCATGACGCACAGAAATGGGCCGCTGCATGCTCCACCTCTGCTTACACTTTCGACCCTCCAGGTTGCCAGGGTTGGAATAGTACTTATTGCCATGCTTTAAGGTGCTATGTAACTTTTTTCTACCACTGCATATATATTATCAATACAACATTCCTTTAGTTTTCAGCTTATTTCCTATTGATGTTGTCAGCTAGAGGCTACCTTACGCGTCTTCACACACACCTGTAGGGAGGATCACATTTAATAAATATTGGACGAGACGAAAGCTTAAATGAGAATTTAACTTTCCTAACTATCCAAAGCAAACAGTTCTACAAGTTTCCTCATAAATGACAAACCTGGGTTTAAAATGCCCACCCTATGGGAAACCATTACTTATCCTTGCCCTTGAGTTTTTGTGGGGTTGTTTTGTTAACTCTGTTCCAGTGGCAACAGAAGGTACAGTCACTTTGGTGGAATCCTTTGTTGAGATTTGTGTGAAACCCTGAGGTCAAGACTGTGAGTCTGCAATTAAAACCATTAAACAACCTACAACAAAGCTTCCTGCTTCCAAGATAACAAATTATCTGGTTCCAGTTATTTCAATAACTAAGACAACTTGCAGTGGACTTGTGGACAGAGAAATAATGAAGGAACAAATAAGCATATGCAAAGTAACCACAAAGGACAGGAGTGATGCAGTATTTTCCCCCAAATTTCAAGCATTTGAGATTTGACTTCTTAAGAAAAATGATTCTGAGCACTTTTGCCAAATATAAAGTTATCAGGAATCACGTGGCTTATTTACTAAAAAAGTAGAAAAGTGGCCACTTTTTTCCTAACTAAAACATCCCTGTTTTCTCAGAGAACTGGACACATATTTCCCCGTATCTGCAAATGTAATGACTGCAGGATCTGTGTTTAATCCGTCAATATTTGACAGCCCGCAAGACCCAATGTTCTATTTTACTCCTCTTTTACTAACTGGTTCTAAAGACTTTAAGCAAAAGGCAAAAGCTTTGAGAGAACAGTTTCTCTTTAAGAAGCAAGAGCTGTGTTGAAGGGAGAGAGGAGAGGCCGTTCTATGCTCTGTGCTCAAGGACTATGCACTGCTCAATGCAAATGTGAAGTTTGCCACTTTGTAACTTATCCTAGGTGCAGAGTTATAATTATATGATATGATATTTGTCTGTGTATTGGATTACTGTATTGATTGAGTCCTTAAGAAGAAAAGCAGCATTCTCATTGCCTGGGGCAGAGGCCCTCTTCAGTAAGGCCCGACATTTAGCTTCCACTCTGAAACATTCGCTTCCATCTTCTCATTGCTGATTTTAATGGGAGGGAAAGGAGCTGTCCAGCTTTTCACCGGGCTTAGTCCTCACAAAGGTCTTTTACTTGAGACTTGATATAATCCAGTTAACTACCAGTTATCTGTCTTATGGAAGAGATTCCCAATCACTAAAGTGATGCATGTACCTCTGTCTACAGAGCCCCTGTAGGGATTCCATGCTTAAGTAAAGCTCTTCTCACCACACGCACCGAACTGGGGTGTAGCAGATGGTGTTTTACTGATGCTGGCTCAGGGTGTGTTAAAAGTCGTAGGAGGCAGATATCTTAGAGTCAGTTTCCTTGCCATGATGTGTTCTTTGTTATGCTTGTCGATGTCCACACTGTTCAGTGACAACACCTTTGGTCTACACTTGAGTTAGTTCTGTTACACTGTCATAGGAATTAATTAGTGCTCCTGGAAAATGAAACTACAACTATTTCCTTTCACCAGACTAAAATATAACTCTATAAAATATAAAGTCAGTCCACTATTTATTCCATTTCCAAATAATTTTTAAGATAACTATCTGGCTTTGAAACAACTCCCAAACTTTAGAAACTGGAACCAAAAAAATTTGAAAGAATCAATAGTTTTTATACTCGGGTGCAAAATGTGATATATATGTGGTGGTAGACTGGGCTCAGGTGTAATGGGCCTGACTCTAAAGGAGAGAAGATTCCATGAATCATTTTTATGAAATTCATGAACTCTTTCAACCCACTAACCTAAGTACTACTTAGACTAACAGTCTTACATTGCAAAAAATGAATACCTTATTTCTGAGCCATTTATTTCCTTCTTACGAGTAGGATCTGGCCTATGATGGCTCCAAAAGTTACAACTAAGAACATCATACACTTTGTTGTCTAAAGTGTACATGTGTGCTTGTTCTGTTTTATACTTGCTTAATAATTTGAAATTACATGTGCGGTTCTTGTTGTCTTAAGGCACTCAACCAGAATGCTGAACTAAGGAGTCGATTGAACAGAATACATTCAGAATCTATTATTTGTGATCAGGTTGTCAGTGTAAATATTATTCCTAGCCCTGATGAGGTAAGACACATTTTTAATAGATGTAGAGTACTTATTTTATAGCATCTAAATCTACTGCATATTTTAATTAATTTTTATACAGTTTTCCCACTGCTAATAAGATTCCCTGCATAAATATTTGTGTTGCTGACAGTTTGGTGTTCTTTGGAGTGACGGATGTACATGAGCTTGACATTATTTATTCTTGGTGATTAGTTGTCTATTTTTATTTATTCCTGGATTCATCTGATGCCGCTGAACACATACTCCAGCTTGTGAATTTTCTGTCTCGGTCTTCATTTGAAATGTTCATTATCATCAGTGACTCGTGATATGTGAAACGAACACTTTTAGCTGAGAAGGTGCTAAATAAAAGTTTTCTTAAGGTTTGTTTTAAAAGTCCTATCTAAGAAGAGACGTCACCTGACCTTGCTAAGATAATACTAATAGTGCTGCTACAACTCATGCTGCTGCTAATTATTAATACTGAACACATGTCAAGTGAATGCTTACTGTGTGCTTGGCATTGAGCTAACCCACTTTACTTGTGTTATCTCATCTGGCATTCCCAATGATTCTCTGAGATAAGGGCTATTATTATAACATTTTTCAAAAGAATTTTTGGAGAAATGGTAAGAGGGTGAGGGAACATTCAGTATTTGGGTTAAACTTGAATGTGTAATTCTGTTTATAACCCTTTATAAAATTATCATTTTTAGCCATGAGAATTTATACTTTTCAGTAGTAATACCTGTTATAAGGGGAGAGTTTTAACTAATACTAAGGCCATATTTACACCAAAAACATACATTTTTTTAGAGATGTTCAGTGGCAAAGTTTCTGCCATCTAACTGCTCAGGAAATGCCATCCCCAGGTAGCTCTTCTTTGATGTAAGGTGCCCACCTTATACCCAGGGACCTCCAGGGGTCCCATATCTCTGATGGCACTTGCTGCCCAGTCAACTGCCTAGAATCTAGAAGTATTTCTAAAACTTTGTCATTCAAAAAGTAGTCAACAGTCTCGGTTTGAATCTTCTTTTCAACCTGAAATGTGTGCTAAGATATATAAATTATAGTTCTTTTACATAATTTTCTGACTGAAATTTGTATAGCTTCTTTGAAAACAATATTTATCACTTACTGAATAAAAATATAGTTTGAAATAAGATTCAGTACTCTAGTCATATGTTTCATTGGCTGAAATTCATGATCAAATTGGAAGATGACTTTTATGTATTCTGTATCAAAAATTAGTGTTGCAGATTGTTTTCTTAGCCTGTCTGTAGTGGTTTCTACAAATATTTCTTGAGGTGTAGTGTACTGGTTAGAATATGTTTAGTAATGACAGACCTAAGCACTTGAGAATGAACTTGTCTCCATAGTCAATTCAACTTATTGATAGGGGCTCATGCTTTTAAATTCCACTTGATATCAATTGAGCAGAAGTTTAAAATGAACTCACTTTTCAACTGTACCTTTTGGATTCTTTAGGCATATTGGAGGGAAACATATCAGTCGTTACTCATTTGCAAGTGAAAATTACTTGTGGTCACCACTCTTTTAACAAATGGTGTGAATTTATTTAGAAATCCAACTAGTACATCATGGTCTAATTTGAACAAATAGCTATTCTTATGGGGAGAAATGCTTTTTTTTTAATTTAAGTATAGTTGACTTACAATGTTGTGTTAGTTTCTGGTGTACAGCATAGTGATTCAGTTATACATGTATATATTATTTTACATTATAGATATTACAAGCTATTGTATATAGTTCCCTGTGCTATGCAGTAGGACCTTGTTACACCGTATACTTTTCTTTTCTGTAGGCTGGTGAGCAAATCCATGTCAGTCTCCCGCTGTCACAGCAAGTAGCCAATGAGAGCCGCCTCTCCATGTCAGAGTCAGTCTCTGAGTTCTTCGATGCCCAAGAGGTGCTCCTCTCTGCAAGCTCGTCAGAGAATGAGGTAAAGTTCTTTGATGCATCAACTCTAGCTGCTTCTGACCATAAGTGTGGGTTAAAGAAGGTGAGACTCTGGAACTTGTTTTAACAGCATAGTAAGATGTCCAAATAGTAGCAAAGCCCAAAGCATATTGAGAAGCCAGGCTGTACTGGTTCACATTTACTGAGCCCTTAACACTCTGGGTACCAACCCAGTACTCTTAAATTTTATGAATAAAAAGAAAGAATCAAGTATTTATTCTGACTTCCCTGTACAGTTTATATTTCATGTTAAACAAATAATTAATAAGAGTTCTTTATAGAAGGAAACTAGCTAATAAACATAGAAAGAGTGAGAGAATAAGGAAATTACCATTCATATTTGTGCATACCATACACACACACACACACACACACACACACACCCCTTTGTCAGAGACATGAATTTGAGCTTAATAGGCTAATGTCTTTCACATGTCTAGTTGGGTAATTGTGGTTTGGGGAGATTACCATTGGCTGCCATAAAAGCTTATTGGATTGCTTTCCGTGCTCATGAATCTTGGGAAGGTCTTGGAAACAAAAATCTCTTCCTTAGTCAGGTTACAGAAATTCTTTTACTGAAATTTAGTCAAGTACACTATGAATTTTTTTTTTGTCATAGGGGAAGCAGCCAAAACTCTTCCCCACACAATTGTTTAGGAGTTTTGTCATTTGAGATTGCAAATCTGTACTGCATTTTTACAAAAAGGAGATGAAAGAGTTGCTAAGTGCTATTTCCATATGCATGGAAAGTAGATTGGAAGGAAACAGCCTGACAATTAGTAGTAGTTGTTTTTTGGATGTTGGAAATTATGAGTGATTTTAGAAACAAAAGTAAGTAAAAAATAGAAAGAAATAATGAACACATGTAACTTTTATAATAGAGAAAAGATACGATAGAATTCTTATATCAGGTACTGAATTTGTTACCACACCCAGCTGGGCACTTGCCTCTCAGATTCCAAGTCATAAATTAACAGATTCACAGAGACTCACATTCATAGTTTAAATTATTCATAATAGTAATTGATGTTATCAAATGGACAAAATAATCATTGCTTGCTGATTATGTCTCTTTCCCTGTAGTCAGATCTGCCTGGGAAGCCTGATTCTAGCCAGGCAGTTGTTTGGTGAGCAGGGAAGGAACAGGAGCAGAAGTGAGCTGAGTGAGTTTAAAGCTGGGAGGGCCAGGGTGTAATAGCTCCAAACTTTCGTCTCCATTATAGGGATTCTCTGCCACACAAATGGGAAATTTGTGTTGTGAGCTAGTCTCCACACCCCCAGGGACCACCATGCTGGAGACATGCTACCTACCAGCATTTTCTTTTCTGACTCTCCCTTTTCTGGGCTCCCATAGCTGACAAGTTCTTTGTCCTGGTTCAGTCAGACAAACTTGACTGGACATTATCTGGGCTTGACCCATCATCTGATGACTGTAACGTACCTCTCTGAGAGCAACCGAATTTCCCTATTTCTGTTCTTGGGGGCACATCTGACCCGGTGCCCAGTTGCTACTTGCACCAGCCACAGGCACTACTGAAATGAGGACGGTGTGAAGCAGGTTATTGCACAAGTCCAAGCAAGGTGGTTGTGCTGCCCCTGGGGCAAGAGTGAATGAATCCAGGGGCAGAGGAAGGGGCAAGGTAGTAGAGGACAGAGGCACATGGAGATAATACATTCACTTTAAGAGGCTGTGAGTTTAACAGGCCTCTCAGTGGTGTTACCTGGCAGCCATTTGGGTATTCAGTCTGCAGCTCAAGGAGAAAGCAGGTCTGGGGACAGAGCAGGGGTCAGCTCAGGATCCACTTACCAGCTGCCCGTGAGACATTGCCACCTGGGTGCTCCACAGAACTTCTAATTCAGCATGTCCAAATGAATCCATCAACAACCCCCTCCCATGCACACACAATTGCTTAGTAACATTGAGAGCATTGAGGTGCCTGTCACTTGGGTTTATCTCCTGGTCCAGCCTCTTCAAATACTTAAGACCAAGTGTCATGATAAAGGGAGAAGATCTAAGTAAAAAGAGTCATTTTATAAAAACCTGTAAGATACAGTCACAAGGAACAGATGTGTAATTTAGTTCTTTCCAGTGTGGGCTGTAGGAAAGTCACTCTCCGTGCTTCAGAATGGGACATGGGGTGTCTTTAGCAAACTGGTAACTCCAGGAAGCACTCTGGTGGCCTCTGGAAGGCTCCAGAACAGAGGTTGCAAGAGGCTGCAGCTGAGAGCAGAGCTCAGATTACAAGTCTTCGTATGACAGCTAAGGAGTTTAGATTGTTTTCCTAAGGACACTGAGGTATAGGGACATGATCAGATTTGCATTTTGGAAAGATTGATCAGGCTGCCCAATGGAAAATGGACTCGAGGGGGCAGGAAAGGAGGCAGGAAGACTCATTACGGAGATTGATGGGGTAATTTAGGTGGGGCCCTGATGAAGGGTTGAATTGGAGGAGCAGCAGTGAAGCTATAGGAAAATGTATGTAATTGAGAGTATTTAGGTGACAGAAATTTCAGAACCCGATGAGTAAATCAATGTGGGGAGTGAGTGCTAAAAGGCAGAGGAGTGAAGGAAAATACTGAGGAATCTTGAGTATTTGATGTGAACACTTGGGTAGAAAAGTGCTTAGTTAAGCAAGATGACAAGTCTAGCTAAGTTTCTGTTTTTTCCCTTGTTTCCTACTGCTCACACGTATGACAATATAGATCTTAATCAGGGCCCATTGTCATCATAAAATTCTTTTCTATTCTACACAGACGTGGATATTGGACCATTTCTACCGTATATTAGTTTGGGCAAGATGAAGAGTTAAAGATGAATAGACTGTAGCTTCTAAATGTTCATGTAATAAACATGCGCTGCAACATGAACTAGGTTGGGGCAGGCTTTTGTCTCCTCTAATGTAATTGGATCTGATTAGCTTTTTTCGGAGAAATCACACACAAGAGTTTGATTTACTTTTTATTTCTATCAGAAATGTGACTTTCATGATCCTGATGGTTTAAACCTTCCACTTCATAGCAGTCAGTGGGAACTGGAGGCCAGCTGCGGTGGGAAAATACAAATCAGAAAAAGACTTCATTCTCAGTTTGCCATCTTTATAGACTTGCTCAGGGTACAAAAGCAAAACTACCATTATTCATTTATGCATAAAATCATTCTGTCTATAATACTGTCTCCCTAAATATATGAACTCTTCTTAACTCTAATTTTGAAAACATCAGCAATAAATCCAGAAACCTTAAAGGAAAGGCTGATTGCTTTTATTACATACAAATTTAAAATTTTTATATGCCTCCCCAAAAACAGCATAAACAACCTTAAGAAATAAATTGCAAACTAGAAAAGAATGAAGTTTATATGACAAACTGAAAAATCTGTGAAAGACAACAATTTCAGTTAAGATAAAATTCAAACTTTAAAAAGAGATCTTTTATGTCTGTTAGATGGATCCTAATATGGATTGAGGATGCATAGTGTCTAAGCAGATGTGAGAGATGCATGCTCTCATGCACTGCTGGTGAGAACAACTTAATGCAGTACAATCTGTCAGGAGAGCAGTTTGGCAACACACAGCTAAAGCCTAAAAGTGACTCATCTGACCCAGCAGTTTCACTTCTGGGAATAAGTCTTAATGAAATTGCCAAACACATTTACAGAAATATATATACAAAGATGTTCATCCAAACATTGTCTATAAATAATAAAAAATTGGAAGCCACATGAGTGCTGGTTAAATTCCTTGGGTTATAACTATCTCATGAAATATGTTGCCATTTCAAGTAAAGACAAAGAGCTATATTTTTGAGAATGGAAATATACTCAGAACACTGTGAATTAGCATGTCAACCAATCCCCCTTTTCAGTATCTAAAGACAGGTGTATCTATGTGTTTGCATAGGCATTTTGAAATTAAGGGTAATACTCACCAAATGTTAAAAGTGATTTCTTTTAGGTGATAGGATGGATGATTTTCATATCATTTGTTTACCCTCATGTAATTTCTGATTTTTTACAGTAAGAATGTTTTGTTTTTATGTTCAGAAACAATATAGCACATTTCCATTTTGAAGAAAGTAAATAAGTATCAACAACTTTCTTGCCTCTAGGAGAAACACTGGTTTTCCCATTCCTCTGAATGGCTTTATGGTACTTCTTCTGTTTTCTTATTTGTTCTAAGTCCCCTTAGTACATATGTTGCCCCTTCATTTTATTCTTATGTGAACTTTGGTTTCATTTTAGTTCCATGTTTTACTCATGTAGAGAGTGGCTTAATTCTTGATTTCTCCGTGTCCTGAAATCTCTCCCAGCTACCCCAAATCATCTGCCAAATTTTGTCTGTTAATACTTCAAACATGGCTCTCGAATGCAGCTTTACCCCTCGATCCTTACTGTGGCCATCTCAGTGTAATCGGTCAGTATTTCTTACCTGGATCTATGTGGTATCCTATTATCTGGCCTCCCTAAAAAAGCTGCCTAGGATCTACCTGAGAACTAAATATGACTGTGCCATTCCCTTGCATTTCATAACTCAGAGGTTTATGTGTGAACCCTTTATGTTCATATGAAAAGCCCTTCAGGTCGGACCTCTTCTCGTTCACCCTACCCTGTTACAGCCACTCAACTTCTTAGCGCTCCTAGAATAAATGTTTCCCTTGCGGTCCTTGCCTTTGTGCAGACCCCTTCCTCTTGTGCTTCTCCCCTTTCTAACAACTGGCAACTCCTGCATCCTCCAACACCCAGTTCAAGTACTGCTTCCTCCAGGCAGCCTCTCCTGATTCCTCTAGGGGAATTCACAGGGCTTCCTTTTTTGCACATTCTTACTGCGTTGAACTGAAACACTTCTGGTTATGTCCTGGCCTCCCCCAGCCTCACAGCTCAACTAAGACAGGAGGCTACTCACAGAAAAGGCTGCTCTCTGGCAGTCCTGTATTCTGGCTCACAGAAGACTCTCAGTTGCTCATTGCATGTATCCCAAATACATTTCATACTATGACCTCTGCTTCTCATTTGGGCAATATCCTGTTGTTTTTAATTGTTTGCTTTTTCTGAACTTTCAAGAGTGAACAAGAATTCTGATCCTCTCCCTGTTCTTCCCTTCCTCAGGCTTCCGATGATGAGTCCTACATCAGTGATGTGAGTGATAACATATCTGAAGACAACACCAGTGTTGCAGACAACATTTCTCGGCAAAGTATGCATCCTTTGAGCTTTCAGGTTGTTCTGTCTCCGTGCCAATCTACACCGCTGATGACTCGAGGAACATTTTGACCCGCTCACTAATTGTTCCTTTTGCAGCTGATTGTTGAATGAATTTTGTCTTTGTATAATCTGTTGAGGCAAATGGTTGAAAATTTTGTTAGGTAGATGGTTAAATGAAAATGTTTAATTCTTGCCCAAACCAAAATTTTGAGTCTTTCATATTAAATATATTTAATTTTTAAAAATTTGACTGTCTTTTCTCAAATAATACTTAAGTATATTTAACACCTTGTTTGAACAGCTATACACTGAGGTTTTGTGCATTTAATGAGCAACCTTGTATTGAAATAACTCCATTCACTCTTGAGAGAGTATAATGAAGGCTTAAAAAAATGTATCACAATCAGAATTATTTGAAAGGGTTCTTTCCTTCCCAGATTTTGGGAAATCAGAAAAGCAAAATATCTGTCACTGTGATTCTTATCTTTCTCCCTCTCCCAGTCTTGAACGGGGAGCTTACGGGAGGAGCCTTCCGAAACGGACGTCGGACATGCCTGCCCGCGCCCTGTCCTGACACCAGTAACATTAACCTGTGGAATATCTTGAGGAACAACATTGGTAAAGACCTGTCTAAAGTCTCCATGCCTGTGGAGCTAAACGAGCCACTCAATACTCTGCAGCATCTCTGCGAGGAAATGGAATACAGTGAGCTTCTGGACAAGGCTTCGGAAACGGACAATCCCTACGAGCGCATGGTAGTAGATAACAGAGCAGCACCCTTTGGGGATGTGCCAACCCTAGACCTGGGCTGAGGCAGAGTTCATTGTGATGGCATGTTTGGTTGCTGCCTAATACTCTCACTGCAGAGGGAAGAGAGGAATCCGTTTGCACAAACCAGGCAGGGCCAAAAAGTTCCAGATACCTCGACTGAGAGATACATACTTTGTGACTGATTCTTGGTTCCAAGTGTTTCTGAAGTTAGAAAGTAAAGGTCTCACGCTCCTTGCTGGTTTAAGACATGCCGAGCCTTGTTTCATCAGCTCTTCCTGAATGCCAGGAGAGTGCATTTTTCAGGGACTTACATCTGAGGAGGTAACCTCCTGTTTGTTCTACTCCATGTGGTGCTAAAACTGTCCAAATGGCATAACCTACACTCTGGCTTTCAGAACCTTTGAACTCTGATACTCAGGAAATTGGGCAGGCAGATGACTGAGGAATATTTGGCCTCGGTTGCCTGTTGGTTCCCAAGCAAGGAGTTTAACCTCATTTCTACTTATTTGTTTATCCCCACGAGTGTGTGAAGAGTCTGTGCAAATTAAAGAAAACGCAAATGCCATCAAATCAGCACCCAATGATAGGGGTGTATAAAATCTCGGGGAACAGGGGACAAACAGACCTGGAAGTAGTCTCTCCTATATTATTTTCCTTTCTTAAATGTTTTAACAGGTTCTTATTGCTGCATTTGCAGTTTCAGGATATTGCTCCACCTATTTCAGAGCAGGAAGTAAGCCATTCAACCCTGTCCTTGGGGAGACTTACGAATGCATTAGAGAGGACAAAGGATTCCGATTTTTCTCAGAACAGGTAAGTCCCACTGGACTCAGTGAGGTTTCTGTGTAGAAACTATAGGAGGGCTGTTGGATGATACAAAGAGCTTTTTGGTAAACATCTGACTGAGGTGGGTTATAATACTAGTTAATAGAAAATTCACTTAGCTTATCTATATAATTGCCCCCTCTAAATGTGTTTAAGTGTGAAGTGTCTTAAAAGATAAAGATTCAGTAGTTTACTTGTACATTTTGAGACTAATTCATTAATAAAGATGGATGAGTTGAGTAGTTTTATTTGAGGGTAGCCAATATATGTTGTAAAAAATTATCATTTATGGAAGTTTTAACACTGATGTCATTGCCTTTTTTGTTTTTAACTATTAGGTTAGCCATCATCCACCCATTTCTGCCTGTCACTGTGAATCCAAGAATTTTGTGTTTTGGCAAGGTTTGTATTTCAATTATAACTTCAAAATCCAATTGATGAGCCTATACAAAAGTTTCTAGTTTCCAAAGGTGACTCAGTACTCAGTTTAGATTTCTACTTTTAGAACTCAGAGAGTATTGGTAATTGGTGTGGAGTTCAGTTTGAGAAACTGGATTTCCTGATTTGAATAGAAACCATGTCATCTGGGAGATGGGATTATTTATTTAGAAAGCAAAGCCCTGTGGGACAGCAATACCCATTGTTCACTTAGAATGTTGCAAACTCACCTAGAATAAAAAGTTTCAAAACCCCTCTAGAAAAATTTACCATTAAGTGTGAATAGTTCCTTCACATTTGGAAGGGTGCTTTACTGGTCACAAAATGACTCTTCTCAATGCACTTCCTCAACCTAAAAACACACAAAATGATAGAGCACTGTGACTATACTTTATTGCAGAATAAGAAAGTAAACCATTTCTTGTTGATAACAAAGATTCAGAAATTTTGTGGAGTTAGCACTAAGCTCCCTTAGTTTTATCAAAATGAGATCAAACAGTTATTACAAATGCACAGATATACCTGAGTGTCCACAAGTAAAACATAAACCCATCACGTGATATAAAGTGCTGGGCCCTGGGTGGTATTTTAACAACTAGCACAGGAACATGTTCCTTAAATTACTCCTACTTTCTCGTAAATCTTAACCTATCTGTATTTATAGGTTTTTTTGTTTTGTTTCATTTTTTACTGTTTTCCCAAATCATGCAGCTCTTCAAATACATGTGTATATAAATCAATGGTACTGCAATCTGCAATTATTTTTACTATACATCATATATATGTATATACATATACATATAAAGTATTTCCACCATTTAGTTAAAACTTAATATTTGTGTAGATATTAAAGCACAATAGAGTCTATGTATGTGTATATATGAATGTGCACACACACATTATTCCAAGCCTTTCCTAATTTTATGTGTTGAAAACACATACAGAGCATGTATTATGGAGAAACACAGATTTTTTTGGTTCACAGTTAATCTTTTCACTTCGGGCCATCCTCAGGCACTTGTCATATTAAAACAACAATGTAGAATCAATTGTGATTTCAAAAGTTCTTTGTCAAATGCAAGGTATAATATAAAATCACATTTCTAGAGTAAAATGACTAGATATACAATATGTATTTCTTGTCCTCTGCCTTATGTCGTTTAGATATCAGATGGAAAAACAAGTTCTGGGGGAAGTCGATGGAAATCCTGCCAGTTGGAACCCTGAATGTCATGCTTCCAAAGTAGGTTGCTCTCATCTTCCTTTTGGTCTCTTATCTGCTTTTCTACATCAGAAATGTGTATTTGAAACTCTAGAAGGTGCCAGGGAGCAATTTATCTGTATGATCAATGCTTCTGTTAACTTCCTCAAAGTTTTGAGAATGGACCCCCACAAAAGCAAATGAGAACTTCAGCATGTGTATCAAAGATTCCTTTTATTTCTTCACATCCTTCATTCATCAGTCAACACCTACCTGTCCTGGTCACCATGTTAGTTTGGATTTTATGTGAAAGTTTCTCTTTTTAGCCATTTCTTTTCTATATATTTATAATTTCACTCTTGAGTTCATCTTAGACCCAGCTAGTATTTTTAATATCTAAGTTATTTTATTGAGGAAGCAGTGGAATCCTCTCAGGGTTGTTGTCCAGAGGATATTGCCTATACATATTAAAATTAAGTGACATTTTCATTGAGGCCAAAGGCTTGATTGCTTTTCCTTTTTTTTTTCTTCATTTGGTTGATTTTGTTCTGTTTTGTTTTTGTCAATCTGAATGACAGAATTCGCTGGTAGATTGGATATAGAGGAAGGTAGGGAGAGGGAGGAATTCCCAGGACCACAAAATAAACTTTCAATATTTACAAACTCATGAGAAAGAGTTTGCCCAGGTATATACAGTACCTACAGCATACCATTCATAAATTTTTTAGAAACTCAGAAGCATTTTATTTTGAAACAGCATTTTGTTTGTACATATACATAATGTGCAAGTTTAAAGGCGATTTGAAACTGTCGTCTAATTCCTTGGCAGAAACTCTGTAACCCTACACACTTTGCATTAGATTTATGCCGTCTATGTTCATTGATCTTTTCTCAATTTTTCACATATTTGTCTTCAACTCACAGCTTGAAACAATGTCCTCAGAGTAGTCTTTCCTAACCTCTTGCCCTACTGTGCCTCTGTGCCTCTCTCTTCCCAGGAACCTTCCTTGATGGCCCATTGTTTGCAGGGTAAATCCAGACTCACTGATGTGCATTCAGGGCCTTCCCTGATCCACCCCATCCCACTATCCAGCCTTGCCTCCCACCACGCCCACTCACTTGTAGCATGCCACATGTGGGTCCCCAGATGTGTTATGCTCTTTTGGTCTCTGTGGCTTTGTCTCTGCTTTTCCCAGCCTGTAGTACCTTCCTATCCAACCTTCAAGCTTAGCCCAAACCCAGCTTCCTCTAGAAGGTCTTCAACATTTCAGGCAGATCCAAGGGCACTCCTGCCATGCTCTCATACATGTCTATCTACCCCTCCTTACTATTGGCTACAGGAGAACAGGAAACAGACCCTATTCAATTTGGTAGCTTTAGCCCCTGGCCCATAGAAAGCATTGAAATGTTCCTTAAATGAATGACTTATGTCATAAATGTCCTTGACCACATAGAAACTTCCAACAAAGAAATGAGAGGGAGATGAGGGAAAAGGAAGCTTTGGCCAAAGGATATTTTCATTGGTAGAAACAGGAATATATATATTGTGACCATTGTTTTTAATCAGTGTTGTTATTCTTCACTAGGTATGGTGATTTCTACGTGTGGAATAAAGTCACCACATGCATACACAACATTCTCAGTGGGAGGAGATGGATAGAGCATTATGGAGAAGTAACCATTAGAAATACCAAAAGCAGTGTTTGCATTTGCAAACTCACATTTGTCAAGGTAAATAATGTCTTACAACAGCGAAAGAAAGAGACATGAAATGCTTCCTAGGGAAGAAATAAAACAATTACCTTAAATAGCAGCAATGAGTTCATCCTGTACCCTTGATCCTTATGGACATTTTAGGTAAGAAAGCAGAACCAGCTCTTGGGGCTGCTCCAAGCATGCGGACATCTGACCATGTAGAGGTCAAAAAAGGCACCATCATTTTTTCTTACAACAGGAAAAACATTCTTTTTAAAGAATTTTCTTTTTTAAGCAGCTAATCAATGCATCAAGTAAAATTCCAGAAAGTACTTCTTGCCTTTAACAAGTCTCCTGGTTTATATTCTATTTCTATGCCTGCTTGATTACAACATATTCAAGAGATCTTGTTTTAGGGAACTAAATATAAACGCAGTTGTCATTTTCTGAGGACGCGCAGTAGATGGTAGTTTCCAGTCCCTATAAGCTTATCCAACTCTGCTGCTATGATATATAATCTTGAATAAGTTCAACAGAAAGCAGTACCTGTAATCACCAAGAGAAGATGTTAGCTATTTGTCTTTTTTTCCCCTTTTTTTCTTATGGGCTCATTAAGTGGCTTCAAACTGAAGAGCCAGGATCACTCTTTGCTCTAACTGGATGATGTCAGTAAACATGTGCATTTAGTTTTGTAGACTCTGAGAAACTTCCATTTAGGCCTGCTCTAAATATTTATAGAGCTCAGGGCAGGAGTACAAAATATGGAAATCCCTATACTGTCTATGTAAGTATTTAAGTATGTAAATCAAGACCACAAGATGACAAATAAAATATGTCCTATCCTTTCGCCCTGACAAAAGTATTTTTCATAACAAAACCTGCAAAGCCAGGTTGGACACTTGGGAGCTCCAGGCTGGACACCTGGCAGTGCTGGAGAGCCAGTCTGGCCCATAGACTTCCCCACTCCGGCTCTGCCCTGCATTGCAAGAGGCCATGCACACACACACACACAGAGGCAGTTCAGCCCACACATCCAAGCTCTGTCCACACCCCTTCAAACAGCCACCCTTCAGGCCCAGTGATTCACACACTTGGTGGATGAATCCAAGGAAAGGCCTGTGCAAGCTGTGGAATAAGCTTAGAGCCATTTGGACAGGGAATTAGGATCCTGCATACTTGGCGCCTGATCTAGAACAGGGGCCATGGGATCCAGGTGGATCACTTCCTACGGACTTCGCACCCCTTGGGGAGAAGCATGGCTGGAAGAGAGCTAGAACCAGGTCTTCCTGATAAACTTAGCCACTCACAGATACTGTGAAAAGTATTTTACAAATTATTTCTACAGTGTAGCCAGTTGAAAGTCATTAAAATCCATGAGCAAAATTCAAGACAGGAGGCTCAGAGAAAGAAGTGACTAACCTATAAATTATATTCGGTTAAGGTAGACACTGAGCCCTCTCATGCTGTGCTCCCATGCTCTCGCGTGGAGTGGGATCATCGCTTCCTTAGAATGAAGCCAGCTAACCCTTAGAAAGCCACCCTCCGTGTAAAACATCTTGAGATAGATTTCTGGAAGTGGTTTGAATGACAAACTTCAAGGTTAAGAACATTTTCCTTACGGAAACTATAAGGATGGGTGTTATTAAAGAGAGCAAGTGTTTTAACTGGAGTTTGGCTTTTCCAGGTGAATTACTGGAATTCTAATGTGAATGAGGTCCAGGGGGTTGTGATGGATCAGGAGGGGAAGGTGGTGCACCGGCTGTTTGGGAAGTGGCACGAAGGGCTTTACTGCGGTGTGGCCCCCTCGGCAAAGTGCATCTGGAGGCCAGGTGAGACCAGCACGTGGGTCCTGCCTCTGGGATCATCCCATGCAGTTCACCATACGTTTTCTTCAGTAGTGAGATTAAAAACATAGATGATTAAGGCAATTATAGTTACATTTACACATACTGTGTAAGTTAAATAAGTCCTAATATTTGATAATAAGAAGGTGTAAAATTGAGGCCAAATCTGACATGTGGTCCGAGGTTGGGCTTGATGTAAAAATCTCTCTAATGCCCGCATTTCAAAAACCAGCTTTAATTATTAAAGAATTCAAATGATTGAAATATACAAACTTAAATTCCTACTCATGTTATTTACTCTCTGTTTTAGTAAAACAAAGGAAGGTCTACAAACATCCATAATCCACAAATTCAATAATTTACCCAGAATAAGTGATTTTTTACTTGAGCAGCAAAGAGCTGCAATATGTTGACATTTAATAAAAGACATCAGAAGAGTTCTGGTGATAACACTAGCATGTAACTAATTATCAAGTACAATAAAACAAGTCTCCACATGACATTTATTTTCACTGGGATTTTGTCAGTTAATCCCTAACTTTAAAATTGGCTGTTGGTTTCCTAAGAGACGTCAGAGAGTACTGAAATTCGCCGGTGGTAGAGTGGTTAGTTCATTCATTCGACAGTTACTGAGTACTAACTAAGCATCAGACTTTGTTCTTGGAGCTTGGAGCACATTAATGAGCAGAGTATACAAAGATTCTGCCTTTGAAATTGGTTTAAAAGTGCCAATAAACATTAATTTAGATCTGCATCTTTTTTCTTTTCTAAATGGAAGTAAATTGTGTTTCTGGGAAATCTTAATGCTGATCGTTAGCCACCCTAGCATTTAGTTACCCAATTGGATATTTTAGAGAAAAGTTATGGTGTAGTTTAGCCAATGAAGACTATTATTTGTACAAAGTGTTATTTTGAAGGCTGGATTTTATCAGTTATATGAATCTACCAGTTCTGATAATCAACATAAAGTGTACCATCTAGCAAAATATAACCAATTTAATTCACTCAAAAAATTCATGATCTAATATTTATGACTGTAAATTTAATATTACTGTGAGTGTTAATTAAGCACCCAGCTTAAGTCAGCATCTGCATGTCCTGTAAGCCTCTTTACTTCTCACAGTGGTTCATTGGCCCCATTCTAGGTTCCATGCCAACCAACTATGAGCTCTATTATGGCTTCACAAGGTTTGCTATTGAGCTCAACGAGTTAGATCCTGTACTAAAAGATCTCCTTCCACCGACAGATGCCCGATTCCGGCCAGATCAGAGGTGAGCATGGCAGCGGTGTCTAAAATGAACACTAGATCATGGCATGGCGCTACAGAAGTCATCAGGGCTTACTTTCACCACCATCATGTATTTATTTATTCATTGACTCATTCATTCATCCCCTTACTCAGTAGTAGTTGAGTCTTCTACCCTAGGTAAAAGAGTACTCAGAGTATGAGCATAACAGAAGACTGGCTTAATACAACTTCCCCACAGAAAACAACACAGATATTTTTTAACAAAAAGTCTCCCCCAAAATTTACCAAAAGTCTGCAGATTATTGAACTCTTCCCTAAATATGAAATCACTCCTCACCCAGTGTTTGTACTTGTTTACTTCTATTAATCTGTGACATAAAGTATCTTTTTAAAAAATTTTTATTGCTGTAACTTTGGTATTACATTATATAATTATAACTATATATGTAGTATATTGTATAATTTTCATATGTATAGCATTTTATGTCTACTTCTGTTTGCCCTACAGCCTGCTCAACACCAGAAGTTCAGTTTCTGTCCATTACCATTACAATTGATCCCCTTTATCCATTTCAGTGAACAATAAGAGGATAAGTTACAGAGACACCTAGAAATACTTTGAGTAAAAGTCTGGACTTTTCCCAACATGTTTTTGTGAGATATATTCAAAATACAGTACCTTTAATACCTTCTGATTCTTTTTTTTATTACTATTCTTACATAGTTCTATACTCACTGTTGTACATTCCTACAGAATTTTTGCAGAAATTCTATAGGCCATACAAATTTCATCCAAGATTGTTTTCAATTTCCAGTGACTTGGTGGCTCTATCTGTCTTCTGCCAAAATGTTCCCAGTATTGAATGTTTGACCATTCAGTTCTCTTGTATTTCCCTCCCTTTCTCTAGAACATGCAGTCTCACTGTTGACATTCAAACTTATCAATAAGCTTCCTGTACAACATGTATCATATTGTATTCCTGGGTTTTTTTTTTCTCTCATTTTGAAATTTAAATACTTGCAAATCACCATTGGGTCTGCTTTGCCTTTCTCAATTTGACTTCAGTATTCCCTTTCTGAATTTCATTTACTATTCATTTCCTCTCTGTGGCCTTTTGTAATTTTCCCCAACTGTTACCTTTTCTTTTTCCTCCAGTTTTGCTCTCTCCAATAAAACAGGAAAACTCCTTCCCTCTCAGTCTGTTCCAAAAGTAGCTGGAGAACAGCCAGTTGTCATCCTCCATCCTGTGGCCTTTAACAAATGCTTTATGACCAAATGGAAAAGGAGCACAGCCAGGGACTTCATGATGTTCTAGCCCCAGACTCTCCAGTTGTCCTGAAAACCTTGCGTTGGAATCCCAGATAGCACAGAAAAGTCTTCAGGGCCAACCAGTTACCTTTAACTCCTGCCATTTTCTTGCTGAACACAAACATTCAGTTCACATACACAGGAAGTATATTAATTGATGGCAGACGGAGAGAATGTGGCCTGGGGCAAGGGTGAGAGGACATGATCAGAGTGTTACACTGGTCATTGTGTGTGTTCACAGCAACCAGAATTTAAGTTTATATAAATGAGATGATATTTTTCTAAGAAAAGAGGATCATATATTCAAAGATAAACTGCTTTCTGCTTAGATTTTTGGAAGAAGGAAATTTAGAAGCAGCAGCAGCTGAGAAGCAAAGAGTAGAGGAACTCCAGAGATCTCGAAGACGGTACATGGAAGAAAACAACCTTGAACATATACCAAAATTTTTTAAGTAAGTCGGTTTATTCCCATCACAAGTTCAAGTTTTGCCAATGGTCGCCACAAGCAATAAAAAACTTCAAGTGAAAAGAAAATGAGGGATAGTTTCACGTTCAGGGAAATCTGAGGTGGGAAATTAAGCCAATTTTGGTAGCTCGTTTTGACAGTGAAAATATTGATTCATATTGATCTTGTGAAAAGTCCGTAATCATAAAAATAAATTTTCCTTAACAGCTCTTTTCTTTCACGGGCAGCAGTAAAGAGTGAGGGTCTTGCCTCTTTATCCTTCAGCTACACCCTTTAGAATGGTAGAAACTTATCCCTCACTCAGAAATACGATGGGACCCCACTGCCCACAAGGTCGTTCTGGCTTCATTAATGTTAATTTTATTTGTATCATTTGGAGATGGTATCCGTTCAGATTTGATCCTTCTGTGGTGTGATCATGGGTGATTATTACAGGATTATATAAACATCACACAAACTAAACTGTAGCTTCCAAATCCATCTGCTGCCCTCCAAAGCCAGGACAGATCAGCTCGGAATAACCTCGCATCCTTCCTAGTTGCCGTCTCATGGCTGCCCTGGAGCAGGACCTCAGTCTTGCCCTTTAGCTGTTGAAAGTGCACTCACTGGGCCTGCGCCCTGCAGAGGCTCTTACAGCCACTGAGCTTGCATATTTTCCCCACAGGTGAAGCAGAGAAAATTCTTGTGAGTCTGGGCCTGAAGTTCTAGTTATGATATTCGTACATGCTTTGTTGGGGACACTTCATTTTCTAGTCCTGCCTGGAGGTGATTTATTCCTACACTTTAAGCCCCTCTCCCCGTGACCCTACCCACTTCCATTTCAAACGTTTAACAGCAAAAATGAGTTCATTTGTGGTCAAAATAGTCAATCATCAATCAGCAGATAGGATACTAACAGGCTTACAAAGTACTGCTTGTATGTACACGTCTTATGCACAGGGGAGTGTCCAGCTATCAGGTCACCTAATGTGATTTGTGTCTAATGAGGGTTTCTGTATCTTCACAGAAAAGTGATTGATGCCAATCAAAGAGAAGCCTGGGTTTCTAATGACACCTACTGGGAGCTGCGAAAGGACCCTGGGTTTAGCAAAGTAGACAGCCCTGTTCTCTGGTAAACTGGGAATGTAGAGCTAGCCAACATATCACGCTCTGAATGAATAAATAACTATGCACAATTATGTTTCTTAGAGCTCCGCGTGGTTTCTGGGTCGGCTGAAAACCGGCCATTTGCTTTTCTATTCATCTTTATAATGGACTTTCAGAAGTGCATTAGACAAGGCCCCTGACCACTTTCGGATCCTTTCTGTTTTGCTGCAACCATGTTCCTTAAAAAAAAAAAAAAATCCGCACCCTCCTTGAAAAGCAGAATAAAAGGAGCAGAATATAAAATCCAAAGTCTGAAGAGTTTGTAAAGGAAAACAAACTGTAACTGGTGCTTAAAGCTGATCCAGAGAGTTTAAAGCAAAGCTGCGCGTGAACCACGTGTTGGGTCCCTTTTCCGGAAGCGCCATCCCCTCCTTGCAGGAGCTCCTGGGCCACGGCATTGGTCAGCTCAGACTTCAAGTGTGTCTGTTTGATGTGGTGTACTTGTGCTGGCCTTGTCAAAAAGGACATGATGCTTCTCAGAACCTGTTCCATCTGTACGCCATTGTTCATGCCTTAAGAAATGCAAAGATGTACAATAAATCATTTTTTAAATGTGTGCTCCTAGGTTTATGTAAAGGACAGAGCTTTTGAATCATGGCATGATTCGCTTCCTGGGATCAGAAGAATTATGAGACTAACTTAAATGGATTGAAAAAAGTGAACAACATGTGCTTTACTTTGATATATTGGTGACTGTATGGAGTGTCTGAAGGTCAAGAAGGAAAAGGTGTGCTAAGTAGAGCTCTGTATTCATGTTGCTCATCAATTTCCTGTCCCACATACAGCTAATAAACCATCCCTCTCCACCTAACCTCCCAGTGTGCCCTATTATTTGGCAATACCTGTATTTGGTTTGAACACTTGGCATCAGTGTGAAAACGTTGGAAGGAAATAACAAGAAGCATATGGAATTTCTCTGTGGGTTTAGGAGCATTACAGCATAACTATTTTTGAGTGAAGAGCAGTATAACCCGCATCTCAATCCTGTGTCCAACCCATTGGCACTGTTGGAATTCCCCTGGGAACAGAAGTAAGAATACGAAAAGCTTATTTGCATTGTTTAATTGAGGTCTATGCAAAATCATATTTCATGTTTTCATCAGGTGTTTCTGTATGATACATGACCACATATTGAGCATTTACCTTGCTATTGGCAGAGAGGTAAAACTTAATTAAGGAATTTATCCATCCCAACAAAAAGGGAGAGGAGGAAGGGCAGAAATGTGTTTTGCAGACTTCAGGATTTGTTTTTTCCTTCACTAATAGACAGAGGCTTTTATTTTTGTAGGAACTTGCATTGGTATTCCTGAGTTTCTATCTGCAGATGACTATATAAATGCCTATGTAGTTAAAAAAAAAAAAAACTCTTTAGAGATTTCCCTAGAGAATTATAAAATTATGTATATTTTATTCTCAGTTAGGTTTTTATTCTTAGTTTCTTAGCATCAGGTTTTAAGTGTTATTTTAAACTCTGACAACAAGGTTACTGACATTTACGTTGTGTTACAAGGTGTTGGTTTTAGCATTGTTTCTCCTCCTCAAAGCATTCCTAATAATGGCTGAGAGCATAAGGAAAACTCTGACGTCTCCACTAGGTGGAGCACGTCTTAGCTATCCTGAAACTCATTCCTCCTTTTATCTGAGTCCTTATGTTCTGTGTACAGTATGCAGTGGTGTAGAATGAAATTTCACTGTCAAGGAAACTCCCTAATCCATTGCCAGCTCTGAGCATGTAAGCAACACCCTCCCTTGGTGTCTCAATGCCTTTCATTCCATTTTAACTCTACAGCTGTCTTCCCCATGGTAGTAAAATTCCCCTTTATTGTCGAGTCTTTTTCTGCTCATTCATCTGGCCATCCTTTTGTCTGCATCTTGAGATACATGTCTTTAATTTTAAATACAATTAGAATTCTGTTCACTGAATGACTTGAATGACTGTTGACTTCCTCAGAAAAGTCTGTTCTCCCATAATTGGTAAAGCTTTAAATAGTATTTCCAGTAGTTCTGGTCTGCACTTACTAGCACTTCCCTGAAGAGTCTCCAAATTTTAGCCTAAAAATAAGGAAAGAACTCTGCAAAGTAAAGGTACTAAGGAAGTAGGAAGGTGAGGCACCAGGTGACCAATGGATATGCCAGTAAGGCAGCTGCAAGAGGACCCAGGACCCATGAGGGAAGCCACCACTGTACCTAGCATTGGGTTATGATTGAGAAAGAGTAACTAGTAGAATGGACCTTGACTACCTATTAAGTTCAAGGTACAAGTCAGGTAGGTGAATGTTGGTCAGAGCTAACCTGAAACTGTGATTAGGATTTCGAGATGGGAATGAGAAGAATGTCAAGTTAATTAAAATTGCCACATTCTTTATAATATCCCAGAGTTAGAATCTCTTTTGAGATTCAGATAACCTGATTAGACTTCTGGTTCAAGTGATCATTTCAGTTTGGGATAACACTTCTGTTGGACCTGATTCACAAATCTCCTCATCGAACGTTCATACCCACATTCTTTTGGTTGGTTCATCCCCCGTTTCTTTTTCACTTTTTGTTTATTTGGTGATTATAGCATTGTGAGACTTACTCTGGAATTTTCATCTGCAGAATCTTGGGGCTTTTGAGACTGGTTTAAACAGCAAAAGGATAGAATATATGTTAGATCATTCTTGATAAAATCTGACTTATTTCTTAGAATTTTATGTAAATCTTTATTTCGGAGGCACTTTTCCACCCTAAAACAACATAGGATAGAAGAGGGCTTAATATGTCTTTATACCTCCGCTGTGATTTATTCCTAAGCTCCTTCATCTTTTTGAGCTGGTCATGAAGGAAAGCAGTAAGAAGTGACGATGGTCCCGTGGCTGTGGCTAGATGGAACAGCTCGACAGCACACGCCACACATAGGGCCCGGCCAGAAACTATTTTGCTTCTGATGCTGCTACCCAGGGTATAAATTTAGTCTCGGATTTTGCTGTAATTTTATTGAGTTTTTTTTAATTAAGTCATTTTTCATGAGTTACTTTAGAACACCCCATAATTTCCAAGCAGTTGTAAAAATAAACCTCGTTTGAGATACCTTTTCATACTACAGATCAATTATATGTGACATCAAAACTACCGAATGTATGTTGGTAAGAGAAACCAAGGAGTTGTTTGTTTTTTTCCAGTTAAAAGAGGGCTTTATTCATAGCATACTTACAATTAATAAGTAATGTTGAATTCTCAGTTGTAGAAACCAAGGAGTTTTTAATACCAGGGATGCCAGGTTGTCGATTTTCCAAACCTCTTCATTATTCTGACACCATGTCTTTCAGCTATTCCACTAAATAATCATTACATTAAATCCCACCCTAAGGAGCACTGGGGGCAGTTAAAGAGGAAAATGACCCAACTATTTTGCTTAGTTCTGATTACAGCTGTGGCTGGAGACAAGTTTATAATCATAATCGAATGTACATTTTGTTAGTACCTTGTGGATTTTAATTATCCATCTTGTCTAATCTTGTTCTCTATCATCCAGATAATGGAGTGTTTGTGATAGCAGAGCTCCTCAGACACCAGGGGGTGGAATAAATGTTTGCACTTGACTCGAGTTGGTATATTATGAATGTGGCACAGTAAATAAAGTTTGTGTACAAAAGATTTATTTCTATGGGAGCCATTATGTTCAGGATATATAAAATGTATCTAATTAAACAATTATGAATCTGTTTTGTGCTCTAGAAATGCTCTTTTGGGGGAAAGATGGAAAAAATGTCATTGGAGCTAAGATTAAAATGTATGGGGTTCTTTATTTTTGTTTTTGTTTTTTCCAAAACGCTTCCCAATCATTTAGAAATACTGCTGATCAAACTAGGATTAGATCTTCTGAGTTTTAACTGAATTTCTTTCGTAAAATTGATACATTTAAACTGTACATTGCATGAACCATTCTGTTAAACCTGACTTTAACTGTAATACATAATTGTAAGAGCATATGTTTGTGACTGAACTGTAAAACTTTTGTTGAAGCCTTTGCTATTAGAGAAAATGGCAAATTGTTTAAGAAAGGATTAGCTTTAATTCTTCCAAAGTGAGATCTAAAGAAGAATGAATTATTTACAAATTGCTGTGATGAACCAGCATCTTAAACACATGAAGCCCCGTGGTTAAGGCAGATTACAGGTGGCAGTATGCTGCCATCCAGGGTGCAAATTTACTCTCAGGTTTTGCTGTTACTTTTTTTTTTAATTACGTCATTCTGTTTCATGGGTTACTTTAAAATACCCCATGATTTCCAGCTTACCGACTTGTCAGTCATATGCATCCTTCTGTTCTCCAAAATAACTCTCCTTACTTGATTCATTTTCTCTTTCCCTCTAGTCCTAACATAGTGAGAGGCAGGGATTCACATCTATTCTTTTGTACTGTATAATGGAGAGTTTATGAAATATGCAGTATTTATGCACACTTGCAGAGTGGGATATTGGTACCACTCACTGCATTTAGCTTCTGTGGAACACTTTATTTAATGTTCATGGATTAAAAATTACCCCATAATTACATATTACTAGTTCCTCAGTATCTCCAGATGGGTAGGGGGAAAAAACATAAAACAAGAATGCTTTTATTTTCTGCAAAAAAAAAAATTTCCTATCTTCCTTATAAATCTGAATTAGGGCAATTTTGAGGAAAGGAAAATCAAGTTTTCAGCAACCAATGTATAGTTCTATTTGAGTTCTACCTGTTTCTTCTCACTTATAGTAAAAAGGGTAAGCAACAACTTAATACTGTTGAAGGCAGAATAATGCTAAAAGTACCGCTTCTTTTATCTTAGGTACCAATCCCTGCCCCCTTTAATTATTCGCATTCAGTTTTTTAAGAAATAATGTGGTTGCCAGAAACTTTTTTCAGTCATTTCAAGCTTGTTTTAAATCCTTTACTGAGGTATAACTTGACATACCGTAAACTTTACCCATCTGCACTGTACAATGTGATACATTTTGACATACCTGTACACTTGACACCGGCACCACAATTACAATAGTGGACATACCCATCATCACCCATTGTTTCCTCTGCCCCTTTATCATCCCTTTGCCCTGCACCCCACCACCTCGAGGCAATCACTGACCTACTTTCATTACTTTTCAAAACCTGCGTATTTTCTTGTATTAATTGCATATGGAACTTTTCTAATAGGCTGTGAGTATATACGATAGAAATATGCCTCAAGCCTCGCCCATGCCGCTACCTCAGGATCCACCATCAGATAGGTGACAGGTTGCAAGAGAAAGACGACCTAAGTTCTAGGTCTGGTAGCCCAGTAAAATTTTAGATTTGAAATACTTAGAAAACAAATTATGTTCACATCAAAATAGCCTTGTAAGTTAATTCATTTCCATCTTTTCGGGGTGCAAAATAATGGTAACACTGAACTGGCTGGCAGGGCTGAGGATGTCCTGGGGAGTGGTTGTCTTATTTGGAATGAAAGAATCCCTGACAAAGCCGTGGGAATCCAGGACGACGGCCCTTGAAGTGACGTCACGTTGATGACGATGATGAGGGAAGCAGCCTATGCTGTTATTTATTATTTGCTTCCCCAGCCCTACTTTTGGGTCACAGACATTTGAAACTTCCAGTGCTCAGGAAGGCGGCTTTTCGTCTCTTCTAATTCTCTTACTTCCCATCTGGGAATAAAGTTGCTAAACCTAATTTTGGAGGAAAAAAAATGGAAATGAAGTGTCGGAATCCAGAGAACTTTCTGCCATTGGCAACTGTGCGAGTTGAAAGCTTATTCCTTTTATCCTTCCCCACAAAGCCTATTGCTCAAAAGTCGAAAACTTTCTAGAGACTGTCAAATACAACATGATTGGCATTAAATACTAATGAAAAGGCATGGATGAATAAAAGAGAAATGGAATCTGAAAAAGAAAAACAAGTTCTCTAAGTGGGCATCAGGCTCCTTGGGGGCGGGTGGATGGATCCCGGGGGACCAAGTTATCATCTAGGATGTTTGTTTACACGCAGATTCCTGAGTTTCCCTCCAAAGATTCTGCGTCCATAGATCCAGGGTGTGGACCGAGAATCTGCAATTTAACAAGCACTCCCAGCTCCCAGGGAATTTTGAGGCAGGCAGGGAACCTCCATGAGGGTGGGCTGGCCTAACCGCCCACTCCCTTGCCCCTGTTTGTCGTTTTTCTCATAGTGACATTCCTGTCGTGGCCAAGGAATTCAAGAACTGAAAACTGACTAGAGCTCAGTGACCTGTGACTCACTCTGCCCTGCGTGGCTTCTCGTCGCTTTTGTGACTTCCGTCCCTTTGCCAGGGCTGTCTTATGAAGGTGAAGAGTAGGGAGGGCAAAACTCTGAAACCTACAAGGCGGGAGGGAAAGCTCAGTGGTGGAGCGCATGCCCAGCATGTATGAGGGCCTGGGTTCAATCCCCAGTTACCTCCATTAAAGAACAAACAAACGCGGAGCGGAAGCCGCGGGCGAGCGCTGCTGAGGTCCCGCCCTGCCACTTCCGGTCCCGCCTCCCAAGCCGGTGAGGGGCCGTGAGGGCCCGTGAGGGGCCGTGTGGGGCCGTGTCCTGCAGCCGCCCCCCGCCCGGCCTGGCGTTGGGCGCCGCTCGCGCCTCGCCCGTCTCGGGCTGCCCAGGATAAAGGCACCAGTAATGCTGACGGTCACAAGCAGATCGAAGCGGGATGCCGGTCTCAAGGGGTCCCGGGCGTCAGCCACAGCCTCCGACCCCACTCGGCGGGTTTCTGTGAGACAGGCTGCTTGTTAAAGAGGGTGCAGAACTTGAAGCTCATTTACCTTGTACCTGTAAAGTGCATTTTCCTGATCCAAACAAGATTCATTGCTTTCAGCCTACTGTAACCCCAGGAAGAACTTTTTTTTTCTGTGGAAGAAGTTGTATAATGACAGGAGAAATCCCATTTTCGAAATACGCTGGAAAACTTAAAAAAAAATCATTTAATCTGTGTCGTGGTTCTGCAGACGTCTGGGACATAGACATAAATTCTGTCTGGAACCATTTCCATTTCTAAGGAGAGCGAACACTAGGGTAGAGTTCCTAACGCCAGGACACTGCCCTTAGAAGTGGGCCTTCCACACGCCTGACCTCGGGATAGGACCGGCCTGAGGACTTAAAAGTGAAGTAGGGAAGTGATGAAGGTTATAGCCATTCTTTGTCCACCTTCATAGACACATTGCACGTGCTGCTGTTTTTAGGAAGGAGTACTGAGCACACTTTGATGTTTCCTGATGACTGAAGGTCACCATTAGGAGCATCATTTACTATTACTGGTAAGCAGTGCAAGGTGGTTCCAGAATTACTGGTAATAAATATTGGTTCTCTGTTTACTAAGTAGTCTCACACGTGTGTGTTTGTAGTAAAAGTATTTTCTTTCTGGTGCCTTTTTAGGGCATTTTTTTGTGTCTATCAAGGCTTCTGTTGCTCTGCCCTTGCCCAAGCTTGGGCTTTGTAGTTCTCAGCTATTCAAAGAACTTGGTTTTGCCAGGCTTATTCTTGTCTTAACGGGTCCATTTGTGTCAAGTCCAACCTCTGGATAAGTGTTTCTTCTTTTCTAACTGAATTATTTTACTGAATTACATGGTTGTTGTTGTTACTGGGATTATGACATCGTCTTTGATCTTATTAGTCTTGAAAATGCAGCACAATTGTTTGTTACAGTTTTGGTGTTCACTGTTCCATCAGAAAAGTAACTTGTGTCTTGGTGCCTGTATCTACTCAGTATTTGGGCATTTGTGTTTGGGATGGAGACCACACGGAGTTGTGTGTGGTATTCTCTTACCATGTGTGTGCCCTTGCTTTGTGGTGTCAATGAGGCAGAAACTTGCTGTGGTTACTAAGAGGCATGGCAGAGATCTGCCAACCCTAAAAACTTGCCCAACATCCTGGTTTTTCAAAAACTTTGAAGTCATGCTCCTCTTAGTACCGAAGGAAAACTACACAGATAGGCCTTAGTAGTAAAGTTTTAACCATATATGGAGCAGATGGTTTTGAAATTGGCTCATTTGCAGCCAGTTAATCCTGGGGCTGAGTCTGAAAAAAAATAATAACTTCCAAGATGTAGACATTTCGGTGGTCAGGGTGGGAGAATTTCATCTGCATCTGGAGCTCAAAGCTCTTCTTTATCTGGCTCGTGGCATGATAGTTCCTTGTCATACTTGGGAACATTTTTATAGTTGTTTGTTTCTGGAATGTCCCTCATGCTTGGGAATAATTATACTCTTGAGAGAAAAGACAGAAGTGTAATTTGGTGATAGAGGAAAAGAAAAGAACCGAATTTGGGTCGGGGGTGGTGGATCTCCACATCAACTCATACAGCAAGAAACAATACCAGTAAATGAAACAAAACAAAGCAAGAATCTAAAGACTGGCTGAAATACCCACTGAAGTCGTCTATGAAGTTAGAGGGATGGTTTGGAAAACTGGGCCAGCTGGTAGTTGCTCAGCTGACTTGTGGATGTCCCCTCAGCCTGCCCCACTGCGATGTGGTAGCTTTTAGACAGAGCAGACCAAGGACAATTTATTTTTTATTTTAGTTTTTACTTTTTAAATACATTTTACTGAGGTATAAAATTACAAACAGTAAAATGTACCAATTTGAAGTGTATAGCTTAATAAGTTTTGCAAAATGGATACACATCCCTGTGGAACCACAACCCCAGTAAAGACATTTCTGGCATTCCGAGAATTCCC